AGGAAATATGCAATTTTTTAAAGTAACTTATTGATCATCTATAAACTATATTTTCAAATTTAAGTCAATTATTTAGATGCAAAAAAAGATGAAAATTTGTAGAAGATGATTTTTATTGAAATTTATTAGTGCAACTAGTAGAAATTCAGCATAGTAAATTGCATGAAGCTTAAATTCTATGTTGCTAAAATTTTTCGTCGAATATGCGTAATGAGTAACAAAAACATTTTGCACCTTAAGTGATATGAATTTGAACATAATCGATGTAAATTTTGAGAAGTAAATCATAAATCAGTTCTGTGTTTTTATCAAAAATAATTTCGAAGATATCATTGCATTACTAAGGCTGGAAATTTTTTAGATGATGAATAAGTTAGCAGGAAAATTTTTAAAAAGATAGAATGTTGAAAAACAATTAGAAGATAAAAATATGGATTCGCAGTATGAATTTCAAATTAATATGTTTCAAGTTGTTGCTAAATTTTCGATTACTAGAACTTAGCATTTTTCATGGAGAAAAGAAAAAATACCCAAAGTCAAAATTTCATCTTGTTTTTTTCCAGTTGTTAGATATTAAATTTTGACATTAAAATGTATAAATGTATTTATCTGTTTCCGTCTTCAAAAGTTATGAAGGAAAAGGCAGTTTGATAAAAGTAGTGACATTCGTGCAAAAGTTTGTCGTTTCAGTTTTCATTTTTTTTAAACTTATAAAATGTCTGTTTAGATCATTATGTAAATAATAAAAAAATAAATAAAAAAGCAGAATAATGGTAAGTCAAAAGACTCATTTTTTAACTCGTTAGAAAGGATATACGATAAAATTAAAATTGTCATCATTTTGTTAAATGATTTTACTTTATTGTTTTCAAATCAATCCAACATTGCCCTACATAACGTTTTCATCTGATAATTTTGCTTACTTTTAAACTAAATATTTTTAGCTTACTTAAACTGTAATTTAACTTCTATTTATATTAAAACTTATGCTTATTAAAATTGCTCTGAACTTTTTTATCTAATTTTGCTAATTTATTAAGTATTTATTGTTTCATAAAAATTTTAAATATAAGAAGCAAAACTTTAACTTGTTATTCACACAATACTTTTTATGCACGCTCAGTTGCTATGTGAATTTTTTGCAGAATTGCTTTGCATAACAAACACTATTTTGATCACTATTAACTTTTAGACAGTATACGAATTCCATTGATGGTTTGTATTTTTTTTAATCTCTCTAGTACTGATTATTCAATCTGATTCTTATATCTATTCACTCAAAATTAATGTATTTGTCCATTTAATATTAAACAAATATATTTCTGTGTACACTTAATACTAAATCGTCAAGTCCCTATGATTATGATTCATGTTACGCATCTATAATTTATTTCAAATATAAGTTCAACAATTTCTTGGGTTAAATTTTCATAAAAACTTGCTCAAATCAGCATTATTAGACAAATTAATTAATTATGGCATCTGCAATTTACAGCACTTTTTATATTTTAACTCACTTAATTTTTAAAAGCCTTCGTATGCAGTTTTTAAAATATTTTCTGTATTGTTATTGTTTAATTATGTCTTCTATTCAAAGTATTGTGGAAAATAAAAATTCATAAAGGTAAATCAATTAATACATAAAATTTTAGCAAACAAATATTAGCTATTTTTTACACTGAATGATTTCCAAATTAGTGTTTAATTTATTAATACGCCAACTTTTTCAAATGATATGATTTAAAAGCACCATTTTTGCAACTTTTCTGTCATTAATTTATAATATATTTTAATTTAATAAATTCTGTTTGATTACTGACAATTTTTAATGACAAAATTAGAATGGAAAAAACTAAGAATATCATATGATATAATTTAAAAAAATGCGAATTAGACGTCCTTTTGTTGTCAGTAATGCTCAAAATAAAAGTTGAAAGCCTTTTAACCAATTTTTTCAGAAACAAAATTAGATTAGGGTATTAATGTTTTATATAAGTTGCTTTCATTTTATTTTAACAAAATTCTTGGATCAATGATATATTGAAGTTATGAGAAAAATAGAATATAAAACATACAGTCTAGAAAAAAGTAGTGATTTTGTCATTATTCTTTTATAGACTTTCATTTTTAAATTTCTTTATAGCTTTTCATTTCTGAATTCAACTTTTTAGTAATTTGTTAAATATTGATTGCAAATAATTTTCCTCTTGAATAAGATTTGTAGCATTTACAGACATTATTGCAGTGCATAATTTCAACACCTATAAAGTTTGATTATGCTAAGTAATTTCAACAAATTGCTTAGTTCAATCAAGCATTAATCAACTTTTTTACAGCAAAAATTTTTTCTGAATTCTAAATGAGTTGATGGAAAGTAAATGTAAAATTGACATGTTCATAGTTTAGCTTCTTTGTGCAATTTTTCCACTACAAGTACAAAACATAATCATACACATTATTAAATTTTGCAGCAAAAAATTTGTTATTTTTACTTCTTAGTGTTAGTAGATTTTAATTTTACATTCTCCAAATGCATGCTTACAGGAATTTATTCCTTTAATATGATAAGCGATAAGCGAAACTAAGCAACAGAAGAATCTTTCAAATTTGCGGAAAAAGGAAAGATTAAATTCATTTCAGTTCAACAATTAAAATAATAAAGTACTAAAATGTGCGTTAAAAGTAAATGAAAACAAAAGCTGAATCTCACTAGAAAAAGCTATCGCAATTAGATAAAAGTTAACAATATTGAACACAGTCAAGAACACAAAATTCAAAAATACTCTTAGAAAGAATAAAAATAAATAATTTTGATCTCAACTAGAAAGCATTTAAAAAAAAATGTGATAATGCTATCATTAGCTGCGTATGTTTATTATCAGTTTTTCTGAAAGTCTTCCTATCAAAGAATTGGAAAAAAAAGATTATCGCACTTTTTAGATTAGTTCAGTTACCTTTTTACAATCATTGACCAAAATGCGTAGTTCAAGAGAAATTTTTTCGTTTTTTTACTTGATCAAAGAACTGTAATTCATCTCAAGCTAACAAGACTAATTAAAACAAATTTATTTCAAAAATGACTATTATTCATTAAAGAAACTCATAAACACTACTTGAGTGGACTTTGGAATTTACTAATAATGAAGAAATTTTTTTTTTAATTAATAAAATTTTGCAGAGATAATGCGTAGTATTTTTTTGATGAGTAAATTGCGTTTCGAATTTCAAGGATTTTTAACAGTTTATATTTTCTATTTTTCCTTTCTAGTTTGGGAAATCTTTGCAGTTCAGTGCATATAGTTTGCCGTTTAAAATATTCGTCCATAAAAACATTTTGATTCTTTCTCATTATTTTTTTTGTTATGCTTTTAAAAAAGACTTCGTCAAAAGTAGCTGACATACATTAAAGTATATGAATACCTTTGATATCATCAAGATTATTCTTGCTGGTTCTCATACATTTTTTGTAACAAAAATTAACAATTCAGTTTCATTTTTCTCGATGAGATTTATTGCTAAGGCATGTGTACAACAACAATTATTCGAAAAAACATAAACTGAATGTGTTGATTCTTTGTATTGCAATTCGAGATTAACATTTAAATGTATTTGTTCCTATTAAATTATTACATTTGCTTTGCTTTATCATTATACATTTATTACTGTACTTTTCCATTTTGAATAA